ACTCGCTTTTTGCACTCTCCGGCCAACACTTCCCCTTTCATTGGGCCACGTAAGCTTCTTTAAAGCTTTCAGGCGCAATCTCTCGAAACCAAAATAACGTGGCCCAATAAAAAAGAAAGTGTTGGCCGGAGAGTGCAGGAGGCGAGTGCCCCTAGCATTGCTCATTATTGTTTTATAATATCTATGTCAATTTAATAATAATTTGAGTTGGCTCGAAAACTAAAGAAAGTTAAAGGCGCTAAAGCGGTCAAGGCACCCACCACTTATGTCTCTCCATAATTTTCAATTAGAAAAGGGTTAATTAAAATATCATTAGAAAAACACTATCATTCCTATTTCTATCAATTAAAATCTCATTAAATCGTAACTTTTCTTTTCTTTTTTTTAATATAAAAATGTTCTATTTTAAATTATAAACAGTAAAATATTTAGAATAAAAATATTAGAGTCTTTTTTTATTTAAAAGTTTATATTCTATAATTTAAATTATAAAATAATATATATATATATATACTTTAATTTTTTAATACGTTGCGTGGGCAGCAATCATCGAATTCGAATCCAACATTCTCGTTTTTACTGGAAAAGGTTTAGGTATTGTATTCCTTGCAGAACTTGATCGCTTCATCTTCTATTATATAATATAAGGGTCGCCTCCTCTTTTCTCACAATCAAATTCGATCGTTATCTCCAATCGATTCTTTACTCTCAAATTTCCTCTCTGAATTATCTGTTTTTTTGCAATCTACAGGAAACATGCAGATCTTCGTGAAAACTCTTACCGGGAAAACCATCACCCTTGAGGTCGAGAGTTCCGATACGATCGATAATGTCAAAGCTAAGATCCAGGACAAGGAGGGGATTCCTCCTGACCAGCAGAGGCTAATCTTCGCCGGAAAACAGCTTGAGGATGGCCGGACTCTGGCCGATTACAATATCCAGAAGGAATCAACCCTCCACCTGGTCCTCCGTCTCCGCGGCGGTATGCAGATCTTTGTCAAAACCTTAACCGGCAAGACTATAACCCTTGAGGTTGAGAGCTCTGACACAATCGATAATGTCAAAGCGAAGATCCAGGACAAGGAGGGGATTCCGCCCGATCAACAGCGGCTAATTTTTGCCGGGAAGCAGCTAGAGGACGGCCGGACTCTGGCTGATTACAATATTCAAAAGGAATCCACCCTCCACCTGGTCCTGCGTCTCCGCGGCGGTATGCAGATCTTCGTCAAAACCCTGACCGGGAAGACTATCACGCTCGAGGTTGAGAGCTCTGACACAATCGATAATGTCAAGGCCAAGATTCAGGACAAGGAAGGAATTCCTCCGGACCAGCAGCGTCTGATTTTTGCCGGTAAGCAGCTGGAGGACGGCCGGACCCTAGCCGATTACAATATCCAAAAGGAATCCACTCTCCACCTGGTGCTTAGGCTTCGCGGAGGTATGCAGATTTTCGTCAAGACCCTTACAGGGAAAACAATCACCCTTGAGGTGGAGAGCTCGGATACGATTGACAACGTGAAGGCCAAAATCCAGGATAAGGAAGGGATTCCCCCGGACCAGCAGAGGCTCATCTTCGCCGGAAAGCAGTTGGAGGACGGGAGGACCCTGACAGACTACAACATTCAGAAAGAGTCCACCTTGCATTTGGTCCTGCGTCTGAGGGGAGGGATGCAGATATTCGTTAAGACTTTGACTGGGAAGACGATTACTCTGGAGGTGGAGAACTCTGATACAATAGATAATGTGAAGGCGAAGATTCAAGACAAGGAAGGCATCCCACCGGATCAACAAAGACTAATCTTTGCTGGGAAGCAGCTAGAGGATGGGCGCACTCTTGCTGATTACAACATTCAGAAGGAGTCTACCCTTCATCTTGTTCTTCGTCTTCGTGGTGGTGAGCTCTGAGATGGTTACTGATAATTGTTGCTGGTACATGAGTGATCTGGTTTTAATTTCCTATTTTTAGTAGTTGGGTTTTCTGCAAAGGACGATCTTTGATTATGCTTAATTATGGCTTCAAATAAATAAAAGTTCAGTTCTTGTTTCTATTCTGTTGCATTTGTTCTTTCTTCCTTGTGGCTTTACAATTTAACTGGATACCCAAGATTAATGTCGATATTGCCTAGTGCAAAATGAGTCCAATTAAGAAGTCTGGTTCAAGATGCGAGCTCTCTGTCTATTATTTTGTTACTCTTACTACCAAAATAGTCAAATCTTTAGTCTAATATGCATATGTTTTGAAGTTTCCTTTATATGAAAAAGGAAAAATATAACTAACGTTAGAATTGGACTTTAGGTGTCAATGATCTAATTAGTTTACTGGTAATGGATGGAAAAAGATTATTTCATACTGAGCAACACAAGATTAAAAGAAAAAAATTATGGTTTTATTGAGATCGTGCTTTTATGTATTCATAGAAGGTGTCTTGTTAAGTCAGTTTCATGGTCTTGCAGTGTTCTGCTTGTGTCGGATTATGATGCACATTATTCATATGCAATTAGTTGTTTCATACAAGTATAGGCCTATATGGCCTTGCAGTGGTCTTCTGCTTGTGCTGGACTATGATACGATCGTTCATAATTCATCTATTTACTTAATTGAAATCATATAGTGACTATTGCACAAAAGGGCATTTGGTCTAGTGGTATGATTCTCGCTTAGGGTGCGAGAGGTCCCGAGTTCAATTCTCGGAATGCCCCTTCATTTTTATTATTACTACTCTTTACTCCTTTTTTTGGGCCGAGATTCAATTTGAGGTCCTTTCGGTCTGTCATGTTAAGTGGGCCCAAAAACAATATTCTGCCATGCCATGCCGTGCCGTGCGGTGTCAAGGAAGAAAAATGAATGAAATTCTAGTGGGTGGTAGCTTGATGGTGGACCTCCTGGTCGTGGGCAATGGTCCTGAAGCCTTCTGAGAAATGGCTCAGAAGGATCAAGGCTTTGGCAAATTGAATTCGAGAAAGGACACTGAAATTGGGTGTTGAAAGAGTCAGTGTCAAATTGTCAATGCTTCTATAATATTCACGTTCCAGCCAAGAGAGCAGAGGGTTTTGACCGCACAGCCAAGGCATGTTCATATCTGACTCATTCTACTGTTAGACAAGTTTAATATTGCAGTTTATTTCCCTAACAATGCCTTGTTATATTCTTGTATTCTTGTATAATATCTTGGCCATGGTAAACAATTTTACTTTCAACCAATTGTTTTATTATTCTTGTACAGAAGTTTTCAATCATGAAAGCTCCTGCCATCTTCCATGAGAAAAGGGTAAACTACTCTCAGGAAATGACACTACAATGCTAAAAGGGCATATTAGGCATACAGCCAGCAACACAACAGCATCCAGGCACTAGAGGCTTCATCATTTCATAATGCAGCAATTTCCCCTCTGCCTCTACTGAATTACAATATCCATAAAGGTGAACCGCACAATTCCTAGACTAACTCAAGCTTACACCTTTCCTTTTTATTTCAGAGAACCCATTTTTCCAAGACTTATACAGCAAGTAATTCAAGGACCAATTGCACAATTCCGTATTATTAATTACTTAATTTGGCATTAAATAATATTTTTGTTCAGTACAGCAATATGTCAAAACATTTACCAAATGCCATTGACTTTGGCATGCCTCAACCATTCATTTCGCTACCTTTCTTGATTGGAAACCTGTGATTCAACTCAATGCTTTCTAAATCTTGTTACAGGTTGGAATTTCGTCATGGTGTTAAACAGATAATATTGTTGGCAATCAAAGCCTACAGTTACCTTATGCATGTATTTGGTTTTAACATTAACAGAGGCAAAGCTACGGAGTTATGAATCTCAGATTTTTCCATTTGAACCAAATTAATTTGGTGTGAACATAAGGAAAAAAATTGAAATCTGCGTTGGCATTTCCTTGATATATACTTCGTGTTGATCTCTTGCGGCCTTCAGTCATAAACAGCTTTGAAGGTTGAAAGGACAAGAAGAAAGAACAGAAGATCATGGCGGGTGGTTCTGGGGATCCATCTGCACGATCACTTGAATACACGCCGACATGGGCTCTTGCCACCGTTTGCCTTGTCTTCATCTTCATTTCCATCTTCCTTGAGTACTCTATCCACCTTCTCACCAACGTAAGTGACTTTGATCTTACTTCCTTCAGAAAAAAAAGAAAAAAAAGAAAAAAAAACGATTTATTTGCTTACACTTGATGAAACACCATGCAGTGGCTAAAGAGACATAGAAAAACTGCGTTGTGTGATGCTGTCGAGAGGCTCAAATCAGGTGCAAGTGTTGATATTTCTAGATAGCTTAGATAAAATAGAATTCAATGTGAATCCGTGTTGAATTCTTTGTGATTTTTTGTTTGGTGTAGAGTTGATGCTTCTGGGATTCATATCACTTCTGCTGGCAGTAACTCAGTCGACAATTTCTAATATCTGCATACCTGCCAAGTTTGCAGACACCATGCTTCCTTGTCGTCAGCAGCAGGTTCAATCTCTGACTGCCAAAGCGCAAGCTTCTATCCACTTCATTGCTGGGAATATGTCAATGACAAACCATATCTTTAGGCGCCTAGAAGATGAAGATGAAGATGGATTACCTCCACCATCTGATTCCAATACAGTTTCTGATCCTTGCAGTTCTCAAGTATGTTCTCTTCTTCTCCTTGGGTTCCGTTTTCCTTCATTTATACTGAATTTAGCTATAATTTTGATTCATAGGGAAAGGTGTCTTTGATGACACAGCAGGGGATTCACCAGCTGCATATATTCATCTTTGTTCTAGCAGTCATGCAGATAGTGTATAGTGTTCTTACTATGGCTTTGGGAAGAGTCAAGGTAATAATATTTAACGCAGTGTCTAATAACCAATTTATTGTGCAAAATTCTATTTGATCTATGTTTCATTCACTCTCTAAGCCTAATAGATAGACTTAATTTTTTTCTTTGAACATGAGGGAATTTTGGGAAATAGGGGATTTTTTTTTTAAGTCGTTAGTGGGAGTTGAACTCCAATGAACTAAACTTAAGCATTAAAGCTTAAGGACGAATCATTGAACGTGAAGGCCCTGTTCAAGCCTAATAGATAGACATTTTGTCAGAGGATTAGTAGAGATTTTTACACTACTTTATGTGAAACGAAATGGTTCTCGATATAATACTTACTCTTATGAAGTAATACGCATAGATGAGGCGCTGGAAAGCATGGGAGAAAGAAACTCAAACAACTGAGTACCTAGCTGCCAATGGTATGTCTCAGATATATAATTCTCAAGTTTGGTCATCTTCTCCTTCGCCTTTACTAGTTATGCACTTCAAAAGGTTGATAACTGAATTAGTGAGGGTTTTCTAGATCCTGATCGGTTTAGATTCACAAGACAGACAACGTTTGGAAGAAGACATGTGAATTCTTGCACAGAAACATCAGTTCAACTCTGGATAGTAAGTTTCCTGCTTTACCAAATATCAATGATTTAACATATGCTTTAGCTTTCAATTTTAAATAAATTCATGGAAGGTTATATATCTTGCTTCAGTTTTATTATAACTTATTCTGGAACATTTTGGTGGCTGCAGAAATGTTTCTTCAGGCAGTTCTTTTATTCCGTTGCCAAAGTTGATTATCTTACTCTGAGGCATGGTTTCATCTCGGTAATTGTCTCCAATAAATTAAAAAGCCTTTTTTTTTTTCTTTTTATGTTGGTAGCACAACTGGAGGCAGCCATCTCCATTGCTCATCCCACTTTACCCGCATGCTGTGCGACTCGAACTCATGACCTCTTCATTCCAATGGAAGGAGATTATCACTTAACTATTTAGGTCGTTGGCAATTAAAAAGCTTTAATTATTTATCTTCCTAATGTTAAAATTGGTTAAATCATATGTATGCTCCAGGCTCACATGTCAGGCATGTACACTAATTTCAATTTCCAAAAATACATACAAAGATCCCTGGACGAAGATTTCAAGGTTGTCGTCAGCATCAGGTTATTTCAACTCTCTCTCAGTTTCATTCTTCCTGAATCCTGAAGCAGAAATTTCTGAACCTGAGAAATTTCTATCTCTGCAGCCCCTTAATGTGGTTACTTCTTGTTATCTTCCTGCTTGTAGACGTGCACGGTAATTCTTCTAAATTTTTCTTCATCTACAATCCGGCCAGATATACAACTTCTAACACTGTTTTCTTTTCTCTGTTTACCCTTCTGTTTGGCCTTAAATCAGGTTGGCATGTGTATCTCTGGATATCTCATATTCCTCTCTTGGTAAGCATAATATTTAACTTTCCATTAAGAAGTTATTTTCTGTTAACCAAATGGAGCACTACTCTTTAGCTAATTAGCTGAATTATATTACTTTTTCACCTGATACGCAGGTAGTGCTAGTTCTGGGAACAAAACTGCAAGTGATTGTTACAAGAATGGCTATTCAAATCAATAATCAAAACACTGTGATCAGAGGAACCCCTCTTGTTCAACCGAATGATAAACTCTTTTGGTTCGGGAAACCGAGACTTGTTCTGACTCTCCTGCATTTTACTTTGTTCATGGTAAATTCAAGTGCCCCCAAGCAAGTTAAAACAAGCACATTGGTTCATGTAATGAATATTGAGTATTCAACTAAAGAATGCTGAACTTTTTCAGAATGCATTCGAGCTCGCCTTCTTCATCTGGGTTACGGTGAGTTTTTTCCATGCCAATTCCATTGTAAGAAGTTTAAGCTTCCAGGTGAGGGCTCAACAATGGTACAAAATCTTTACAACTTTATGTTATCTTCTCACCCTTGTCAGATACAATTTGGATTTGATTCTTGCTATCACGAGCACACTGCCATTACTGTTACAAGGATCGTACTAGCGTAAGGAATTTGATTATAATCACTTCAATATCTGTTTTCACTAATTGGTTAAGCACAATAATTCCGAATTTTGGATTGCATTTTTCAGAGTTACAATTCAAGTCCTCTGCAGCTACAGAACTCTTCCTCTTTATGCACTTGTGACACAGGTGACAAACTTGACTCTAACTCATGGTTTTCATTAGCAAAATAAATAAACAAAATAAAATAACATTCTTGTTCTTGTTTTAATTAATTTACAGATGGGTTCAGAATTCAAGGGCAGAGCAATGGAAAAAGAGCAAATAGCCAAAATAATCAAACTATGGCATGCAGGGGTGAGGGAGAGAAGGAAGAAACAAGAACAATTTCTACGATCACCACGGATTTCTCTGTCCAGAGACGGGGACTCAAGAAGGGGTAACAGAGGAGAAACCACTGAAGAACAAGATAAGACAATGAAAGAGGAAGCTGCAGCCTCATCCTCAGCTCCATTGCAGCCAGTCAAGATAGAATTGCCAGTACTAAGGAAAGAGTAGATATAGCCATACTGAGTTATGGAGCTAAATGTGGTATAACTATTTGTATAAATGTCTCTGAGAAAAAGCAATAGTATATCTGTTTCTAATATGGTGAATTGGTGATCGAACATATTGAAAAGGACTAAGAAATGACATCCACATTAAGGATGGGGCCAGGATGGTGATTTAAGTTGTAAAAAGATGTGGAGTTCGAAGAATTCATTGTTTATGACCACATTCTTTGTCCATGGTTCCAATAGTTCCACCACGTTAAATATTCCTTTACTTTTAGCCTTTTACTTGTTCATTGATTCTCGACACCACACTTCTCAGACTGATAAATACTTGAATTTTCCTCGCTTCATCAATGGCGGACATGAGTATCATAGAAGCCATGGATCGCCTTTGGTTTCACAGAATTATTCTGTTCTCAGAACCCATATCACAGGATGTTCCTAAAACCCTTAAACCCCATAACAATCTTTCGAGTCCAACATCAAGCATCTCTGTATTATCTCTTCCTGAAGCAGAAATTTTGGAACCTGTTTCACTGCTTGAAGTAGATATGAACTTCATGAATTCATCACTGGTAACAACAATCAAATATATAGCTTATTACTTCAACTTTATTTTGTTTTGCTTTTCGACTAACTTTGTTGTCTCCATAGTTACAATTCAAGGATGATTCTAATAAGGAAGATGAAGTGAATGAAATCAAGGAGAAGAATAGACCTTGGAGAACTCACTCAAATTCTTCTTCACCAACGCAGAAACGTCCCAAGAATTTCAGATACTCAGGCTCAGGTAATACAGAGACTACACTGAGTAAGTCCATTACTTTTAGGAGATTGAGAGATTTGGAATTTGAGGAAGTAAAAGGGTTCATGGATCTTGGATTCATATTCAAGAAAGAACACTTGAACCCCAGAATGATGAGTGTAATCCCTGGCCTTCAGAGACTCAACAAAAATAACACAGAAGAACAAGCTAGGAAAGATGAAGATGATACTGAACAAGACCAAGATAAAAGAAGTGTAACAAGACCATACTTATCAGAGGCTTGGCCAATAAAGAGACCCAACTCACCTTTATTAAATCTGAAGCATCCAAGGGTGTTTGCAGGTTCTGATATGAAGAAACATCTCAGGTTCTGGGCAAGAGCTGTTGCATCTGAAATCCGGCAGGAATCCTAAACCTCCAAAATTTCCCCAAGGAACAACCAGTCAATCTCCAAGAAAATGTTCATGCATGTAGCAGCAGCTGTAAAAAAGAATTCCTCACTACAGACTCGATAATATCATGAATAAAGATGAGCAAAAGAGCACCTTTTATCACTTGTTCAACGACTTTGTATTTGAAGGTGGACATTGTTTCCTTTCATGTTTTATTAATGATACAAAGGGGAGGAGATAAGCCAACAAAAAGGAAGAAGGAGCTAGCGGATGGGCACTCTTCCCATATGGATATCAGGAAGATGACTTCTTAGAGCAACCAAGAGTCCCATGACACCATCTTCATGTGTGTTTTTGTCTCCATCATCCTTTGATGCATTTTTCATGTTATTCTTATTTATCCTTCTGTTTTGGAGTGAGATGGTGATGTTATGTCTTCAATGCTCATACATGTATGACCCTGTCCCTTGCTATACTAATTACACATTAAATCGCACAGAAGCGTCTATCTTTTCTTTGTTTGTTTTTATTCCTCTTACCATGATTGGGATTTGGGATCTCACATTTTATATGGTTGATATCTCACTTAATATGTGGGTTGATGCCTTTTACCCCCAAAATAAAGTTAGTGTTTAGTTATATATCGAAAAAGTGGGTAATTTGTATAATAAAAAATTAAATAAAAATTACTCTAAAATTACATTAATATAATTTTTTTATTGAAAAAAATTACAATCTTTTAATTTTTAAAGCATGAAAAAGTATTCTTATAGAATTTTATTTAAATAACATAATTTTTTAATATTTATCATCTTAATTTTTTACAATACAAGTTAATATCCATTAATTTCATTTGAGTAAACTCAAACTTTCTATACTACAAATAAGAAAAATTCTCCTCTATCATGGAAATACTTTTAGTAGTCGCTTTGAAAAAGAAAAATAACTTTCTAAAAATATTTAGATCTCATGTCAATGCGTCATTTAGTTAAAAATAGGATAACTCTAACATGATATCTTTTAAAAAAAAAAATATTTCAAAACATTTACATCTCTTGTTAATGTGTCATTTACTTGAAATTTAAAATTAAAAAAATTCTATTATATCATGAAAATATCGATATTAAATATCTGACATTAAATCTTTAACATTAAAAAAAAAAAAAAGAAGTGACATTTTAAAAACATTTACATCTTATGCTAGTATGTCATTAGAGCTATGATGAGATGACACCTCATCATGATATTACATTTCAATGTGATAGATTTGAGAAATGATTATAGGATAATTTTTTTGTATCATATTTTAATATCATCTAACATATTATTTAAATAATTAATTTTTTTATTTATGTGGAGCTCATAATATTAAATATATTTATTTATTTAATAATATTTAAAAATTATATTAAAAAACAATATAAAAAATTATCTCAATAGCACCGCTCAACGGATTAACATAAGATAAAGAGGTTTGTTAAACGTTATTTAACAAAAAAATGAATTTTTTGTATGTAGATTGCGAACTTGAATGCTACCTAACTGGCCCATCAAAATGAATAGAGAAAAAAAGAATGACTGTCACCTAGTTCGACTAATTGTAGCTAGCCTGGTGCAGAAGGTCCAATGGGCCTTCAGAACTAAATCTCAGTTCAAGACTAGGCTTTCAGACCTCAAAGGAGAGTTGTAGGCCCAAGAAACCGTCGGCCTTCTCCTTTTTCGGTCCCAAACTGGCCTTTACCTTTTTCTTTGATTTTTGTTTTTCGTTTTTTGTATTTGTTTTGTTTGTTTTTTTTTTTTTTAAATATGATTAGTATGTTCAACCTAAAAGGGAAAAAAGAAATAAAACCAAGTAGAAGAAATTAAAGCCTTACTTATTTTTCAGTGTTTTTTAAGGCCTTAAATTTTGTTCAAATAAAGAACTCAATCATCTTTGCTAGATTTGCAGGTTCAATACTTGTCCTTAATTCCTCATGAATTATGATTTTCCTTTTGTCTCTCTTCTCCTTTTTTTAGTGTCTTTTGTTAAATACGACCAAGGATTTGCCATCTTGAACAGGGAAAGAAAATAATAATTTTTTAATAGAGAATATTATTCTCACCAATAAAATAACCTCTCTTTTTTTTTTTTTAATGTTCGCACCAATAAAATAATTTGCACAAAAGGTTTTTCAATTTGATTATGACATTAATTAGTGTCCCACTAACACTTTTTTGTTCATGTCAAGCTCGAATATCATTACGATTAGTTTAATTTGATTTCGTCTCACGCTACATAAACTTTCTTGAATAATTATTTATAATCTTTATGTATACATATTATAAATTACATTTAAATTGCATAATTATTGAGTGAGAAAATATCATATTGATAATATAACAAAGAAACATATGATTTAAACATAAAGAGGGCTATTATTTCCTTAAAAATCCTAAAGTGATACATGCATAGTAGATTTAAGTTGTAGGTGTAGGTGTAGGTGTACCACTTATTTTGTTATAAAACAAAAAAGTAAGATTTTTCTAACGATTCTGATTTTCCTAACAATTCTCTTTTTCCATACAATCAACATCCGTTAAGATGACTAGAAGAACGTTGGTTTAAAGTAATTTTAGGAAGGAGTGATGCCTTCTTATAGAATGAGCTACTAATATGCCTTAGAAAGCTTCAAAAAATTTAAAACACCACCATAAGCTTAAAACTAAAAAATCTTTAAAAAAATGAATGAAACATAAACTAACAAACTATGGCGGATTTATTTGTAAAACTAGAAATGTAAATGGGCTTAAAGCTAAAATAAAGCTAAGTAATCATGATGTTTAAACCAATAAGATTGAAATTGACATAAATATAAAAGAGAAGCATAAAAGTCATATAAGTTGACATTTGGAGAAATAAAATTTATCTTAAAATTACAAAATAAGGAAAGAGATTGTTGTGGAAACTAGAATTAATCTAAATCTAGCTAAAAGCTGTGCTAAAACTAACATCTAGGAGCTGTGTGAACTTTAGCTATAAAAACTAGAAAGTTGAATTTGATGAATTATGGGTAGGGCTAGTTGTCTTTTGCTTGTTCTCAATTTTTCTTTTTTATATGTCTTAAGGTAGATGGTAACCACTCACTCTCATTTGTGTAAAACATGACAGATTTCTTATGTCAGTTAGATAATTCAACAATAGACCTTGTCAAAACCCTCTTCAAAACTTGCCACCCATTTGTTGATCATGATTGGCAACTTCTCCCTAAGATTCAGTCATGATCTTCATGAAAACCAAATAACACCAAATAAATAAGAGATAACTGCTGAAAACACAAAATCTAGTTAAATACTTAGCACTTATCAATCAGGTTTGTTATGTTCTAGAACATAGTAACATCAATTTTGATGTGGTTTTTTCATAGTCACTGGTTCAAGTAAGGTGAGACATGGTATCACTAGAAAAATTTGCAATTTATAGTGTAACCAGTTACTTTATTTATTACTAATTAGTTTTAAGTTTTTTTTTTTTTTTTTATGAAAGGTTTTAAGTTTTAAATATGAGTAATGATATAGAGGACGAAAAAATGAGACGAATTTATGAGACTAATGACATAGAAAGGATGTGGAAAAGAAGTGACACAAATGTGGATTTTATTTTATTAATATATTACTGATGTGGCAAACTAGTTCGGAATCGTCCCGTGAAATCATCTCCTTTTTTTTTTACTTTTTTTTATCATTTTTCTTTAAATATTATCTAAAAAAACATGTAGTAACAAATAAAATAGATAAGAGATGGTATTAAGTGCATGTATAACATTTTTCTTTTAGAATAGTTATTTACAAAGAAGGAATTGCGTAACTAACCGAGTTTAATAATGGGTTCCAAGTACCAACAACCCCATTTTGGATCATCCACTAACACTAATAATTAGTAATACTACTTAGTACTTATACCCATCCTTCATGCTTTGGGATGCAGAATCAGTGTTAAATATTTCTATCTGCACATAAGTAATTCCACTGAGACTTTATCAACGAGTGCTCTCATGGCTGTCTCAATATTCCGATTGGCTTTGCTAGTTTTTTTTCCTCTAAATGAATTAAAGCAATAAAAGGCTGAATTTCAGTGAATCGTGGAAGTAAAATCAATCTACTACTTATATTATCTCGTCGTACATTAAAAGAATCTTTGTTATATATAGTTTGGGTTGAGGAGCCAAACAAACATAATTACTCTTTTATTTTTTTAATTATATAATAAAAAATAATTTTTTCACATCTTTTAACTTATATTATCAATTTAAATTTAAAATTTTTTTATTTTTACTAAAAAAAATATTAACCAATTATTTTTTTTGTATTAACCTCTAGGCATTTGGTAATTATATTGAATCCGATTAATTTGAAATCGAGTCGCGTCGAATCCTATTAAAGGAGAAGATTTTTCAGTGCTTATTTCTCTATTTATAAAAGTTAAATTCAAAATTTTATTTAAAAAAAATTAAATTTCTTTTATTCAGACTAACAGTTCGATGGTGTCAACTACTTAAATTGTTAGGAAAACAAATTTATTCTAAATACAACAAAGTATGAAGGATTGTCGCTATGTCAATGAATTGGATTCCTAATTAAGCAAAGAAGCTAACTTGTTACGTAACGCAATTAATAATTCTCATGTTTTACTAGTCTTGTCCTGGGATCTTTTTTTCCGGCCAATCAACAAGTTTGCTGCATTCAGTGACAAAATGATTAATACCATCGAATCTTTAATGATTCACATTCTAAAGTTTTAATGCACGTCCAAGGTAAAAAATGTAAATTTTTACACAAGTATTAGCTAACATTTGAATGGGATTAAAAATTCAAGGGTAATGATATAAAAAATTTTTTTTTGTATAATATTTTTATATATTATTAAATAAATAAATATACTCAATATTATGAATTTAAAATAAATACAAAAATTAATTATTTAAAAAAAAAACATGTAAACTTTTTTTAAAAATTATATAAAAATTATTTTTAAATTATTTTCGAAATTTTATGTATCAAAATCAACTGCTCTTGCAATTATATACGTCCTTCCGTATGCAAATAGCGCCAGTAG